GGGGGGAGGCAAAGTTAAGCACACCTCACTTTTTCAGGTAAAAGACGTGTATTCATAAACTGGACGCACCTAGTGACCACAATCTTTACCAATTTACTACAGAACTTGATATTTTAAATTACAGTAGAATATTAATGTTTAAGGCAATTTGTGATAAGTGTTACCAGTCCATGTAAACAAATGTCGATGAGTAGTTTCCGGACTTCGTATAGAGCAGTCGATGATGATAATCATGAAAATCAGCCCTGGGAACAATAATAGCAATTTCAGAAATATAGTTGACTTGAAAACAGATAAATACAAATGGGTGATTTCTAAAAGTAATAAGGTAATGTACAGACCCCCCATATAACGGCAAGAAGTTTGACGGGCTCCAAGGGAAATGGTACCCGGAATGTGCCTCAACTGTCTCAAGGACTCTAAGTGAGACCCAGAGATATATTGTTATCAAATGGGGCCCCGTGATTGCAGGACCAATTATTGTAGCAAATCCAAGGAAGAGAATTTCAGCAGGGTGAGCATACTCAGAAGTCAACCCAAATGGTGTTGCGTACCTGTGGTGTAAACAAGCAGACGCTCTGACTGCATGGTGAAAAAATAAAAACCCGAAGTATTAAGCAGAAAACATAATGTTGTTCACATACTCATGATGGACACTGTGGACATGCTTGTAGAGCCATTTCGTATGTAAAATCCTGTGTCCCCAATAAAATGCAAAATCCTCCAAGATGAAATAGAATATTATTTGCGTTGAAATCACTTTCCTGCACAAGCAAAATATTTGCAATTCACTCTAATGAATAAACAAGAATAGAAAATCTCTGCCACACCTACTAAAAAATTATACAGCAATTACGCCTCAATTCCAAGCTAGTTGAAGTTGGCTACATGATTCCTCACTATCCATCTTTATCCAAAAAAAAAAAACGAAGTCTCATTATCATTTATCCATGCTGTTCCAGTTAGGCCCATCTTAATCAATGTCGTCTACATTTTTACTAGCATACAAATCTCTAACAAGATTATAAATCCCCTAACGGACATTGTACTTAAGTAAGCTTACCAACATAACTAAATCTTAATCCTAACTAATTGGTATCACCTTTATGTATCTTTTCTTTTCTGTTATACCATATTTTTCGCTAAGTTTGCATGAATTCTAAAACCAAAAATATAAAGAAATAAATAGCAAAAACGAAGAAAGGAAGATTACAAGACCCAAAAAAATAAAAATACAACGATTATGTGTTGCCATCACATCACTATAGCTAGTATATGAAAACTCAAAAATACCAGGACGGCAGTGGAAGACTACTTCGTGTCCCCATGAATTTAAAGACAGGATATGATCCAATCAAGATTGGGAGATTAACACAAAAATGATACAGCAGCAGACGAGTGATACATTTCTCCTGAGCTGCCGGGCTGTTATTCTTCTTCTGCACCAAAAGAGGTCAAGAATGCAAAAAAAATGAAAATTCATCCGAATAACGACAGAATGAACTACTACGAAAGCGAAACATCATAACCAGATTTTATCCAAGTATTTGTGCCAAACACAAATGCTTTTGCAAAATTTTCACAAAGCTTTTCCCAGAAACTGTTCTCCAAATGCAAACCAAAATTGAATTCGAGCACCAGTCTTAACTTGAATATAATTACAGTGTGGGAACGTTTAATCAAGAAACATCATTCCATTACAAGAGTCAAAAAGTAATACCTGAATTTTGTACTTTCCAAACCACCCTGCCCTTTCAAAAAGAAGGAACGGGAGTCCAGACAAGAAGAAGACACTCTCATGAAGAACGAAACCTCCAAGACAAGTCAATTGGAAATCGCTGAAATTTGTAATAAGATACTGAAAAAGAATGAAGAAATCAAAAGGCTATTAAACAGGTAACTAGTACCTCATTACTCTAATTAAGAATGAGTGCACTGGTAGGACTAGTCAGTCCACATAACCGAGTAGATTTTAAATTGGAAGCACACAAGAGCCATAGTGCAACCTTGATTGAACAAAGAAAAATATGTTCACATTTAGGATGTGTTTTGTCATGTTAGGCTACGTTAGCCTCAAACATTATACTATGGAGAAGTGGTGAATGACAACAAGCTTGAAATATTGTAGTGTAATGAGCCGTGGCTTCACCCCTGCTTTTTTCTTTCTTTGTGCACTTCGAACCTGCATTTTCTAGAAAAATTCATTGAGCATGAGATTTGAGATTGAACCTCTCTCTCTCTCTCTCTCTCAAGGCAGCTCATAGATGGGGTTTGAACACCAAAGAAGGAATCAACCTTCAATTTTTGGGACTATCAATCTAAGACATCAGTCCAAAGTTTACGTGAAAAGATTGGTTTGGACTTTCCTGAGTGCAAAATGCATGTCAAAAACTTCCAAACCTGAGATGGCTACATTGTTTCCAATTGCCTAAGTTATTTTTCAATCAGGGGCGGATATACCTTGTCCCCAATCGGTATCTCAGGACACATCACTTTGTCAAATATCAAATATGTTTACTATATGTGTATGTAAATAATAAGCAAAATAAAAATATTGGGTATCAATATAAAAAAATGACACCATTTGTCATTATACTAATTTTATTCATTTGTTCAATTCTTCAAATATTGACACTGCTAATGAAAAATCATGCGTACACCGTTGGTTTCAATAATACCATGCTAACAACCTCCCACTCCTAATCTTGTTTCCAAACCCGTTACAACTACATAATTACAAACTTATCATCATTTGAGCTCCACCTACTTCAAACTTGGCTGCTAATAAATCTCTCATGTATGCTATACAAACTCCATTTCCATCACATTCCACCATGTTTAGATAGTGATTATGTCCGCTACTAGTCCAAGAGTGTGTCAACCATCCCCTGATGCAGATCAAAAGATCCTGCTTTCTCCCATTCAAACTCAATGCTTTTACCTTATTGCCTATGTCCTCCTCCTTCTATTGGATATTTCTTTTTTTAGAGGAAAATATTCCATAGCAACAGAAAGAATAAAATTATTGGAAAGAATACAAAGACAAGAAACTCATAAAATCTTGTCGCCGGTGGGACGGCCTAATGGTAAAGCACGCAGCAACCTGGAAATTTCAGCTTCAAATCCCGGCTATACACTAGGTGTGAGCCCATTTGCTCCAACCTTGGTGAGCATGAATACCTTGGCAACCTGCTTCCAGGCTAGATAGGCTGCCCCATGGATTAGTTGAGGTTCATACAAATTTGGTCTTAACGTTACCAATACATACAAGAAAACAAGAACTCAAGTATTTGGTAGAAGGAAAAAATTATCTGAAAAATGTTTTCCAAAAAATGACTTATTTTTTTGAAAAATGTTTATCCAACTTTTTAACATAATTATCAATATTTAATAAATGTTTTTTTTCCTGAAAAGTGTATTTTGCATTTGATTGGAGATTAGAAAATATTTTCCAGAATTTTGTTTTTGTTAAATATTGATAAATATGTTAAAAAATAGGATAGTGGTTTTTGAATAATAAAATTTAGTAATAAAGATTGACAATATTATCAAAGTGTATGTTGAAATGACTTCTGTACAAAAGTGAGGCAAGTTATTTTCCCCATTCGGTGGAAATATTTTCCTTGAAAAAAATATATTCTAACAACCATACATCATAAAATGATTAATTTCTGAAAGACATTTCCCAGAAAATATTTTCCATCATGCCAAATACACCTGATCAGTAACTTCACAAAACAACAGAAATCACCAGATTTTCCACAGCATATCTAAATTTTAGTTATTTACTTCAATAATCAGCTCCAGTAGGACAGTAGATCAATAAATTAACTATATCACAAACTTTTTTTGTTATTTTTTATGATGGTGGTGTTCGACCCATCTTCCACAAACATTCGACTAATTCTCCCACCAGCACAGGTAGTTAACTCTGCCCACTACTTCACAAACTTGATGTCGGCTATATGAAACAAAGAGTCCCATAATTTAACAATCACATAATGCATGGAGCAATGAAATTATCAAAATGCCAGAAATTCATATTCCAGTCAAAGTCAAAGTCAAAGTCAAACACATTTGTTCATTATTACTACTACACATGAATGCTAAATGCTAATGATACAAGCAAACAATGCTGCGCCCATTCTGCTCATAAATGTACTGTTCCACATGTATCGAACCAAATAGAACAGCCGCATTGAAGCAAAAACGCAGAATGTAGTTCTAGAACAAATTCGAACCTTCTAGAAGGAAAAAAAGGAACAAATTCGAAGCTTCGGGAATATTAAAAAGAAAAAAAAAAGGGTAATCAGGTGAAAATTGATGTAAAAAGAAGAGAGAAGAGTACCGTCCAAGCAGATTCAATGATGGAAGCCATTGTTGAAACAGATTCAATCTATTTGGTATTTAGTGGCAGTAATAATAAATAGAGGGAGAGAAGAGTATATCAGCTGGAAAATTGAAGAGAGGGGACCGCTATTGTTTAACGGGTAGGTGTCTAGTGACTATCAAATTTAATAAATATATATATATATATATATATATTAATAGCCCATTTGACTAAGTTACAAAAATTAGCTTTTCCTTTTTACGAAAGTCTTTTTTCAAAAGTATTTTTTAGTAGAAGTATTTTATGTTCGGTTATTTAATTTGAAAAGTAATTCTAAGCATAATTAGTATTTGATCAAACTTTTAAAAATTATTTTTAAGTATATTTTTCTCAAAAAAATAATTTTGGAGAGAAATTATTTTTTTCCGCTTCTCCTCGAAAATACTTTTTTTCTCACAAAATCTTGCCAAACACCCCTAACTTTGAAAGAAAAAGCATTTTTCTAGAAGCTTGGTCAAGGCTATAAATATTTTCATTTTAATTGTAACTGTTAAAAATTGAAATAGTAAGTAATTTGATGTAAAACTGTATAAATAATTTTTGTCTTTTACGTGTGTTGGAAAAGCACCAAAGAGAAACAGTTCCATTAAGATGTGACGGGTGCAGTAGAGACAAAAACGATGAAATGTACAAGTGCGAAATAGTAGGTTTTTGTGTTAAATAATTGAGATAAAAGGATGATTTTAAGTGTTAATAATTAATAATTAGCTTCTAATTTTTATATGTATATGGATAATTCGGTACATTAAGTTTTTATTATGCGCGGGGTTCGAAAAAAGATAGGAGCACAAAAATCTATTGTACGCAGCCTTCTCATGCACTTCTTTAAGAGGCTGTTTTCACGACTTACCTCCTGATCACCTGATAGCAACTTTACCAATTACACAAGACTCTAATTTCAATTTTTATATGTATATACATTTCTAATTTTTTTAATACAAATTATTATTTGAACAAAAATTATTCTGTTTGATCGAACTCATATTTAAACTTCTACCTTTATGATGCGCTACGTCGTTCCCTACGTGTGTCCAGGAGTAATCCAAGTATCTTTAATGAGGCAATGAAGTCTACTTAGTGGGCATGGGTTAAAAGTTTGGTGCGTACAAATATAGTAATAGGATAGAGTAGTTGTTGAACATTCTATTTTCTTAAAAAAGATCATATAGTTGTTTATTTTCAGTTATTAACCTATTTCTCCAAATAGAAGAAATAGAAGTATTGGCTAAATTTTAATTGTATTTGTCACGATCCAAAATCTATTATATGTTGTGATGGCACCTAACATCGCCGTTAGGCAAGTCCGCGGTGAACCATCTAAATAATTGTTCATTTTTTTTCCTTTTTGAAATCATAAGTGCATACAATTTTAGTAAGACATAAATTAAAAGGTGACAATATTAAAGCAAAATCACTAACATCACTAGAATGTCATAAAACCCAGTGTTACAAGTGCATGAACATTTACTAAGGAGTATAATAATAATACAATATCTGTCTGGAATGTAAACTAGACAGGATAAAGTAAATAAATATGATGGAGACTATGTGGGTTGCGACATGTAGCCTGGAATACAACTGACCATAAAGTTTCCTTAGCAGATGCGCCTACGCGCCAAGATGACCACCAAATGAACCTGTCAAATCCTGCACATTTAGTGCAGAAGTGTAGCATGAGTATGTAAATCAACGCGTACCCAGTAAGTATCTAGCCTAACCCCGGAGAAGTAGTGACGAGGGGTCAACATCGACACTTACTAGTGATTCAATAAAATAATATAATAAATTATAAACAGATATGAATCATAACAACAACCATGAGGTAAAAACTGTAACTCACATAATTCTCCAACATTTCTTTTGAGGATATAAATCTCTCGGATCTCATATGCTATCTCCACATATCAGAAATATTATATGCAATCTCAAACGGATGAGGAATATCATATAAAAACCAGGTTTCAATCAAAGGAAAATCTCATGAATATTCGGACTCCTAACGATATCACGCATGATTATGCCGAGGTCGTACGATCCGATCCATAGTGGTGTGTACACTGCCGAGGGTCGACTGGCGCGAACTAGAGATGCATCTCAATATACTGTCGAGGCATTCGACTCGATCCACATGAAAGGAAAAAACTTATCGAATTACGGGTCATGTGTTTGCAACACAAGTACAAGAGCATAAAGTAAACATGACTAGCATAAAGTAAACATGATTTTTACAGTCTATCAAATATCTCGTCAAACAACTCAATGTGATAAAGCTCGGCCTAACATATTCCCAATTAATTTCAGTTATATGTTCAAGTAATTAAGCTAGCAAATTGAGTTCAACTAAGTCAAATATTACATGATAAAGTCTTAAGTCTACCCGAAAACATACTTTTAGCTACGTACAGACTCTCTTCACCTCGTGCGTATGTAGCACCCACACTAGCATCACATAACAATTTAACAGGAGACTCATAACATGAGACTTACTTCACTATGAAGTTCCCTACCGGCTCCAACGCCTTTCTAACACCTCAAACCGATATCCATCAATCTGAAACTAGTCAAACAACATGCAAACCAATAAAACTATACTTCAGCACTCATAATTAATCAATTTATATCAATTCTCAACTCCACTCGAAAAGTCAACAAAGTCAACCCTCGGGCCCACGTACCCGACTTCCGAATTTTTTTGAATATAATCATTACCCACAACACCACGAACTCAAAAATATAATTTATTCCCAATTCCATGTTAATTTCGTGGTCAAAATCCAAAAATATCAAATTCTAGGTTTCCTTCCAAAATCCCATAATTTTTACAAATTTACATATTTAAATTCATATATAACTCATGTATTTAACTTACAACAAGTGGGAATCACTTACCTTGTATTGCTTGATGAAAATATCCTCAAAATAGCTCCCTCAATTCGGCCACCCAGGTAAAAATGAGAGAAAAGTGAGCCAACTCCCGAATTTAAACAACTCTGCACAGACGACCCTTCTTCGCGATCGCGGGAAAACCTTCGCGTTCGTGAAGACCAAACTCCCCAACTGCCAAATTCTCTCTTTGTGAACGCGGTACACCGGTCGCAAACGCGACGAGCAACTCCACCGTCCCTACGCGAACGCGACGCCACGCTCGCGAACGCGCAGTACAACTTCCTAGTGTTTATTTCCCGCCTACCCTTCTACGCGATCGGGTAATCACCCTTGCGATCGAGAAGCAATGCCTCCCCCAAGGCTTCGCGAACACGTGACCCTATTCATGAACGTAATTAACAAATGGCCAGTCACCCAACAGACCTTCGTGAACACGACCCTATCTTCGCGATCTCGAAGAAGGACACACTAGACCTTAGAAACAATAGCTCAAACATGGCGAAAAGACCCGTAGCCCATCCGAAACACACCCGAGGTCCTTGGGACCCCATACAATTTTGCCAACTAGTTCCAATACCTTATCTAAACTAATCCAAAATCTCAAAATGCCACAAATAATATCAAAATCACGAATCGATGATCAAATTCTTCTTTTAACTTTCAAACATCCAAATTTCGACGAACGTGTCTGAATCATATCTAAACATTCTGGAAAAACGCCAAACTTTACGTACAAGAATCACGATACAAACCTAGTCTAAGACTCAAAATCCCAAATGGACATCGATAACATCAAAGTCCACTTCAAATCAAACATAGAAAATTCCAAAACCTTCAAAATGCCAATTTTCCACAATAAGCGCCGAAATGCTCCCGGACTACCTGATACTCAACCCGAACATACGCCCAAGTCTGAAATCATCATACGAACCTATTGGAACCTTCAAATCTCGATTCCGAGGTCGTTTACTCAAAAGTCAAACCTTGGTGAACTCTTCCAACTTAAAGATTCCGAATTAAAATCTTTTCTTCCGAATCAACTCTGAACTTCCTGAAATTTAATTCCGACCATATGTACAAGTCATAAAACATGAAGTGAAGCTAATCAAGGCCTCAAACTGCCGAACGACGTGCTAGATCTCAAAATGACCGGTCGGGTCATTACATTCTCCCCCACTTAAACATATGTTCCTCCTTGAACGTGCCAAGAACTGTTCCGGAGGTACCCAAAATCACTGATTAACACCTCGTACACCTACCCGTGCCACCACTACCCATGTAAGCACATTAACACGAGCCAGACTGAAGATCCTTCATCCTACCTTAGCCCACAAGCCTTAGAACCAAATTCCAACATCTAGAATTATCTCTGAGACTTGATTCTAACATACGAACACATATCAATCTCAACACGGTGAACCTAAAACATGATCATCCACCCATGCTGTAATCACACATTGCACCGCATAATTCGTATGCCCAATATAACATCCTCCAACCACAATAACTGTAAATTCATGAATCTGATGACCTTAGTATATACCATAACACATATAAGTCTGGTTCCAACCCACGCAATGCTGCAATGATGAAAAAGATGTGTAGAAACTCATAACCACCTGCCAAATCAATAATTCATGGAATTCCTCTGCTTAACAAGAACCCTTGCCTCATTCTGAACTAAATAGTGGCATTTTCCCTCTAATATACCTTATATAAATCTGATTGCATTGATTTCAGGCCCGACAAACTCGCCTCACCCATTACAAGCTGCTCGACCGACAAGCCATATAAAAAACCACCTAAAATCTCGTACGACAACATCAATGCGTCAATAAGCCACAACTCGAATATGACCAATTAAGGAAAAAATGAACTCGGGTAAAGAACTATCCAGCCAGTGTAACAAATAAAATGGCCAAATAGATGCTATGAATCTATATCAGAGATGAGAAACAAGGCACACAAAATAAGTATAAGGAACCATACTCAACATCTAACTGTTGCAGTGTACAACCCGATCCACACATGATACCGTTGCGACATGCAACCCGATCCAAACATGATACCTATGGCGGCGTGCCAGCCGATCCACACATAATAATCGATAAGGAAATACCTACCGAGCCAAAATACTCATACCCACGAAATGTCCGAATATCGACCACAAGCACGCCAAGTGCATAAACACAACCTTG